CACCGAAAACCGGTTCTTAGCTGGAGAAAAAAAACAGGACAGCACAGATTCACACAGATTAATCAAATCAAAAATAAAATCAAGAAAAAAAATTATAATGATAATAATAATAAAAGATTATGAAATAGGAGATGAGTAAAAATAGTCAGCATATATACATATTTGGTCATATAAATTATGAAGTACAAAATGAGTTAAAGTGACAAGTGAAAATGGACATCTGTACATATAGTGACATATATATCTACATATTTGGTCTACTACTAATATATTAACATGGGTTGTGGAAACAGTGTATATTTATGTCCAGTGATTTATTTCTTTATTTGTTAACATTATTGACCCCTTGTTGTGCAGCCTGATGGCTACAGGCACAAAGGACTGTCCGAGGCGCTTGGTGCTGTGTCGTGGAGGGATGAGTCTGGCTGAACGTACTCCTCATCTTCACTAGCTCTGCATGGAGTGGGTGGGAGGGCTTCTCTAGGATGCTGTCGAGCTTCCTCCTCGTCCTCCCCTCTGCCACCTCCTCCAGATTGTCCAATTGTACTCCCACTACAGAGCTAGCCTTCCTCACGAGCCTGTTCAGCCTGCCTGTGTCCCTAGTGTTAGTGTTTCCACCCCAGCACACCACGGCAAAGAAGAGCACACTGGCCACCACAGACTGGTAGAACATCTGCAGCAGCCTCGTGCACACGTTGAATGACCTGAGCCTCCTCAGGAAGAACAGCTTACTCTGTCCCTTCCTGAAGAGAGCATCGGTGTTGTCTGACCAGTCCAGTTTATTGTTTAAGTGCACTCCCAGGAACTTGTAGCTGTTCACCACCTCCACATCCTCCCCCCTGATGGTGATGGGGGTCAGAGACCTCTTCCTGCTCCGCCTGAAGTCCACCACCAGCTCCTTAGTCTTGCTGATGTTGAGCTGGAGGTGATTGTTGTCACACCAGCCTACGAAGTTCTCAACCAGGGCCCTGTACTCCTCCTCATTGTCATATGTGATGCAGCTGACAATGGAGGAGTCGTCAGAGAACTTCTGTAGGTGGCATGAGCCGGAGTTGAAGCGGAAGTCGGAGGTGTATAGAGGGTGAACAGGAATGGTGACAGCACAGTTCCTTGGGGGGCTCCGGTGTTGTTCAGCAGCACATCAGACACGCTGCCCTGCAGTCTGACATACTGAGGTCTGCTGGTGAGGTAGTCTGTGATCCAGGCCACCAGGCTGTGATCCACCTGCATCACTGACAGCTTCTCAGCTAGCAGGTGTGGCTGGATCGTGTTGAAGGTTGATTATAGCTAAATATTTACAAAAGTACAATATTTTTGTCAGGAAATCCATTCTTCGTTAATGTAATATTGCATATAACTTGGACAAAGCTAGTGTTTCTCTTCAGGTTTAATAGTTCAGATTAGATTGGCATTTACTTTACTGTAAGATTTCTGTGTCTCTCATCTCAATTGATGACCAGAAGTCAGACATTTAAATAGTTTACAGTCATGTACAGACAACATATTGGAGAGAATATCTGCCCTAATAAAGTCAGACTATACAAAATGTGAGTGAAGTTGTGAACTATAAGGTGTAGTTAGGGATACTGTTTTTAACTACAGCTGGATTTGATGTTAAACCTTACAGGAGGGATTGTGGGTTTGTGTGGCTCGAACTCTTTAAAGCCTTTGGATTTGTTCTAGTATTAGATCAAACATCTGTGCGGGAGGCGCCCCGATGACCCGCTCACCCACTCGTCCCTGTAGCATTACAGATTAGTGGATGGCGAATGCAGCCGCCTGACTGCTTGTCTTTTGAATATTTATGAAAGTGTAGCCCAGTGCTCCGTGGTAGCCTCTGCTTATTAACCTCATCCACACCCACCTTCATATGATCGGACTACAAATGTAATTCAGGTTTGCTTTCAAAATCTTATTGCAACTGCTGGATTTGTGAGATTAAAGATTTTTTCTTCAGTGTTTTCGCTATGATTGCTACACCACCAAAAGCAAAAGTATATGGTTGCAGGCAACACATGACCCAGGTCAACTTCAAACCCAGGACATTTCCATTACATTGAAAGCACCTTATTGAACTGAGATGCAGTGAAAAAACAATATAGTCATTCTAACAATTTTCTTTCTTGGGTTCAGAAGCAAAATAAACTCATAAAAGGTAAATCAACCTGTTTTCTATCAGAGCTTACTATTTGAACTATGAACTTCTAAACATGTGACTGTTTCTACAGACGATGCACAATTAGAATCACTTGTTCGATGGTCAATTGCCTGAAAATAAAAAAATGATTACTTAAAGCTAACATTATTCCGATATCCATCCCCCTGCGCAATTGTAAAATGCACCAGCTTTAAAATAATTGCCTAAAGGATGGCAACATAAACTCCTGCTGTCATTACTCTTACTTTTACTACTGGTTGGCATATGAGAAAATATTCTGACTGCAGCCTAAACAAATGATGAAAATGGAAACATCATACCTCATTGATTTAAGTGGAGCGCCTGCCTGTGGTGCTACTAAAACTTAATCGGTTGGTGTCACGGGTGGCAGCTGTTACAGAAAATGAAGGGGAAGTATTTCTTTCTGTCATGTCGCCTAAACTGAACCGACTATCAACAACTATTATGCTTAAACAAATGTAAACTATACTATAACAAATTGTATATTTGGAACATAACAGGAAATCCTTAAGAAAATGGCATAAATGCTTACATTGGATGAAGTGTACTAGTGCATGTTCATCTGTGTCTACTTACAGAACACATTGTAATGAGTAGCAGAGAGGTGGGGGGGGGAGGAAATAATGGTATGTTGGAGATGAAACATGTCCTCGAGCCACATTGTTGAAAGTGGAGATGAGAGAGCTGGAAATCCTTAGGAAGAAGTAAATAATCTCCTTTCTTACACGCAGCTCTGTGCTACATGCTTGCTTCAGGTCTCCGGCTCTTAATAGACGAGGATAAATAGATAGACACACACAAGGGAACACAAGAAGCAATGCAGTGAAATTGCACCACCCATGCCCTGATGAATCCAGATCATTTCCTCCATGTGAGCTGAAATCTAGTTTGCTTTGCATCCATCTCTGACAGATGAACTCATAAGCATGTTTCCTAATTCTACCGCGGGAACAGTAGAGCATTGGCTCAGGAGAAAATGGAGTATGATTTCCCAGAAACACAAATCCATAGGTATTTTTGTATTGTTTTGTTCTTCCCACAACGCTGCATTCTTGAGGTATCCTCTGTTTTCTTTCCTCAGCCCTTTTCTATGTTAAGTGTTTGGCATTCAGGCTGGTTATTGAGCCGTCCTCACATCTTCCATCCACCCTTTTCTTATCTTCCTTCCTGCTATCCATCTTCCTTTCGTTCACCTTAACGTGCAGAATAAGCCATCCATCGACTGGGCAAGTAGGGTCCTTCTTATCACCTGTTTCCTCTCACTCAGACACCTGGTTAGAGACTAATGCTGAGGTCATCAATAGACACATAGCCTCCATCTATTCTCCCTTTAATAAAGCTCTTTATTTCACTTATAAAGAGAATTCTCCTATGTAGTCTCTTCCTCTTTTTTCATCCATCCCCCATTTGTATCAGTCAAACGTCTTCAGTGCACTCTCTCTGGCTCCAGGGACATACTCTAAGTCCTCTGTTATGTGCATATTTCCAACCTTATTCTAGTTCAATGTATGTAATTTAATTCACAATTCTCTCTCTTTAGAGGAAATTGCCTGTAAGGAAATGTAGTGTCTATTTTCGCTTGTCGTCTTTATTTCTCTTTCAGTGAATGTATTGCTATTTAACACTAAAAAAGGCCGTATTGTATTGGAACCCGTATAATGTGCGTTGTTGTAATTCTCTGTCTAAAAGGAACATCACTATAAACAGGATATTTACTATTTCCAGCAGAAATGTAAGTTCTAAGCCAGGTCTTTTTACATTTAGAGAAACTAAAATGTTGTCAGTTTTGGTTCACTTTCTGAGGGTTTTAAATGTTACTATATGTTTATTAATATGTTCATACAGGTAAGGGTGATTTTGGACTGGACTAAAGTATAGTGAAAGTTCTATCTAATTTTTGAACGCCATATTTCAAAACATGAGGAGGGAAAATATAAGAAACACAAAAATAACCTCTATAAAGAACATGTAGTTAGTTGTTGTTAATCTAATTTTAATATATTATTTATTAAGGTAGAATAAATGGCTGTGATTACTCCCAGATTCAACTTGTTATTCTTGCTTCTTTATTTAATAGTTTCATAATTTGTATTTCATCAACTGCGTCTTATAACGCCTTCTGTAATGTTTTTCCTTGTGGTTCAGATTAATGCTACTACACGTCTAGTATATTACCGCGTGTGTATAATCTCCAGTGAAGGATTGGTTTTAGCGAGCCGTGCTCCTGCATGCACACACACAGGTGCATAAACATTACACACCCTGCGGCATAATTGTCAACTACAAATCCTCTGCCGGTGACAGTGTACACATAGGCACATGCTGGAAGGCAACATCATTTCCATTTCAAAAAGCTCCATACTGGGAGGCGTGCTCACATAAAAGCATATTTGGTAGAAATGGATCCTGGTGGTGTGTGTGTGTGTGTGTGTATAGGTGTGCACATGTTTTCCCATGGGCAATGTAAATCAATATTGTAAATATAAGCCTCTCTGTGACGCAGGTTTTACATCCAACTGTGTATATATCTAAAAGTTCATCAGTCAAACAGCATGAGTGACAGAGAGGGTGAGAAACTTCTTCAAGTATTCATGTTTTTATTTGATGATTGATCTCTGAATGGCTGTGTATTCCATAATGAGTAGGCTGGCATGAAATAAGTGCACAATTTAAAAGACTTTGTTCAGGATTATGCAATACCCGACCAAAGGTGAGCTGTTGAAAACAAGTCTGTATTTAAATCTTACCGTGTAGGTGTTCCCTTCTTTCCCAGAAAGGAACAGCTTTGTGATCTAATTTATTTTTCTTCTCCTGCTTCCAGATTTCGATCCCAGCCTTGGCATGATGGGTGGAATCACCCCCATGAATCCCATGATGCCCGGCCTCGGTATGGTGTTCAATCCCCTCTCCCAGGATCTGCCAGTTGTCAAGGAGATCATCCACTGCACAACCTGCACCCTCTTCCCCCCCAACCCCAGTAAGTCAAATCAAGTTAATCCTACACTACAGTGTCTGTATGCACAGGAGTCACATCACAACAGTCAACATTATTGGGACCTTGGAGACAGCTTCTCCACATGGGAAATACCATGGCAGGGTCCAATGTACCTTAGAAGGCTTTCACTAGATCATTGTCTTCCCTAAGCATGAATAAGTGCTAAGTAGTTTTGAAGAGGTGTTTTGTTGTTTTAGCTTGACTGCACTGTGGCTGTGATTTATCTAAGGTGACATTATATTATTGGGGGTACAGGAAACGATTATTGTCATTATCAATTCACCTGACAATTACTGTTTCATAAAAGCAATTAATAAGTGGTTCCTGTAAACTTCAGAAACTGGTGAAAAAAACACAATTAAAAGTTTCCAGAGCCGAGGGCAGCATTTAGAAATTGGTTGTTTGTCCAAAATTTTAAAACCCAATGATACTATCTGTGATATTGTAGACGACATCCAAACCGACTGTTGCCGGATTCATTTCAGCTTGAAACAGCTCTAAACATTTGACATATTTTCCCAAAAGATCTGCTCAATTTTCCCTGCATGCAAAAAAAGAAAGGTGAATTGACAAATGAGTGTGGTTGTGGCAGATGTCAGAATGTAATATATTTGTTCAGATCTCAGCGAAGACTTGAGATTACGCTTTTGTAGCAAATATCAGAACCAAAAACGTTATTGAAAATGTGTTCTGTCTTGGTGTTTCAATATAGGAAACATCAATCATCGTGTTGTTCCTCAGTGTTTTTCCTCTTTTTTTGTTTCTCTCATCTTTTGGCCCAGCGATTAACCTAAACAACATGAATTGCATTTACATCCACACAAATAGCCTTTGCTCAAGCTGTTGTTTATATTTGTCTCATCTGCACCTTCCAATTATCCAGTGTTAGAAAACAAATAGTGGGGGTTTGCTTTTGATTGATCCCACCACACACGTATGAAACAGTTTTTCCTCAGATGTGCTTGCTGGTCTGCTGTGTGCATTGTGGCTCATTAAATACTGTTACTGTAACAATCTGTTGTGGAAGATGAAGCTGATTAGAAGTTAGGAATGTCTATTAAGATTGGAGTTTGTTTAGGTAAATGAGCAACGTACTTTGGGACAATGAAACCCTGAGGCTGTGTGAGGAATATTAGAGCCTGTCAAGATCACTCTATGACACAATACATCTGTGTTGAGTGGCCTATATACAAATAAGTACAACATGAATATCAATGCTCAATACTAAGTCTAAAATGTTGTTTTGTACCCTAACAACTGAAGCTGTGTCCTTAGTGATGCATGGACACACTTACTTTCTCCTCTTCAAACTGAACTTTCAACCTTCTCTACCACTTTCCCTCTGTCCCAGTTACACTTCACTCACTTTTTGATCTGATCTCTTCTTAAGATCTTCTTTACTGTCACCTATTTCAGTGACACAAAAAAGTTAATCTCTAAGCCAAGTTTTTTATTAGGCAGACATCTGAGGAAAACTGCCAAGGCTTGATCCTTCTCATGAAAGTAAAATAACTGTGTAAGATTCAGCTCCACATTGTGCACTAAGCCAATGGGAAAAGGTTGTGCCCTCAAAGAACATCCACCTCAGTCTGTGGGTAGTCAGCAGCTCCTTGTAGCATCTCTAAAAATTCCAAGGCAAGGGTCCGGACTAGAAGCAATTCAAAGACAAACAGACTGGTTTGTTTTATGCATTGGTTTACAATTCATGTAGATGGAATTTAGTTATAGTAAAACCCCCTCTAGTTGGTTTAGGATTGCATCTCTGCTTCATGCCATGCAGCAATGTAGTTCTGTTGTGTTGGTTTTAAGCCGCATGTGAAGCAGTCAGGATTATTCGCTTCTCTACATGCAAAGTCTAGAGCAGGCACAGGATCCAAACAGGTGAATTTGTGCAGAAGAAGGAAGTGAGCCTGAAGGCAAATAGTCTTTTTCAAAAGACGGAGATTGAGGTTGCAACCAGCTGTGATTGTTTTCCATTCCTGGTGTCTGGGTTCATCCTCTGGGACAGGATCAGGAGCTTGGACTTCCAGAGGCAACTTCCTGCATTACTGCTGCTTCTTTGTGTTTGAGGAGCAGGGAACAATCCCCCCACGATCCCGGGCGCCTCGACGAGGAGATATTCCAGGCACGTCGAGCTCTAAGGAGACACTGGGTCAAACCCAGAAAATGCTGTAAAGATATATCCTACCTAGACTGAAAATATCTCAGGATGTCCTCAGGGAGCTGGAGGACATGGCTGGAGAGAAGGATGTCTGTGAACCTCTGCAGTCAAAACCACCTGTACATGCAGAGAGCTGTGGACGACTTATAGAAGGATAGGACAAAGAGGCACATGGTTCCATCCAAAGTTGATGTTTTAATGGCTGACATTAAAGTGGACCTATCATGCTATTTTTAGGCAATAGCATAGGTCTCAGATATATACAAATATATAAAAAACAGGTCTATGAAGTGTTTTGCTCAAGATACCAAACAGATCACCCATTCTAGCCAAGCTTCATATCCCTCTATTTCACTTCCTGTTTCAAAAGTTCTGATTTAGGGTATAAAGCTTTAAAAAAAAAAAAAAAAATTGATTAAAAAAAAAAGGAGGGGCTGAGGTTTATGCCTTGGCAGTCTCAGCTACCGGCAGATTCTGCCGTGATGAAACGCCATATCATGGATTATCAAGGATTATTTCTGAAACAGTATGGAGCTCAAAGGCTTTCTCTCTTGCCGGTTATACCACAAGGTGAGTTCCTTTTTATTTCCTGCTTCTTCACACACATGCTCTGTGCAGTACAGGTTAGCTGAGTGTTAGCGATGCTAATGTAAACATGCACCGACCATATTACGTCATATCGGACGCAAATCTGGATCAGCTCCGTTGTAGCCCCGTTTTTAGAGATTTGGGAACGGAGGAAAAGAAAGAGGGTTTTATTTTCTGACGCTGCGTGAGTTCCCCGATACACCAGAGACACATATTTATGAAATACATCAAAAAGTGCATTTTGCATGATAGGCCCCCTTTAAGCTTTGGAGTTTATTGGTTACACCAGATTGCTGAGCAGAAAAAGTATTTTCACATAAAAAATTTAGTTGTGAATGAAGTGTTAAGTTATGGGATAATTTAAGCGTCTGTGTCAAGTAAACTGTGTAAACAAAGACGATGGAGCTGTTTGAGATATTAGAGAAGAACATTGATTTGAGAAAAGAGGTGTCATTTATTTAATACTGCATGCTTTTAAAAGTACTTTTGGTTGCAACGAGGTGAGTTTTGAAGACAAAAGTGTTATAAGATGAAGAATTAAATTGTTTTTCTCTCATTTGTTTCAGGGCTGCAAATAACTATATTGTCTTTATAAACTGTTCATTAAAAGTCGCCATTGCAGATAGCACAAATATCCCCAAAATAAGTACCAACAGTGATGCTACAGTGATTAAGAAACTTGAAAATATTCAAGTTTGAGAAGCTAGAATGTATACGTTATGCCATGTCTGTGATAAAAAAGCTTGTGAAAAATGATAAACAGATGACTTCTGCTTTGAGCTAACTCTATATGTGGGTTGTTACATTATAGAAGGATACTGTGGGGTCTGTAATCCAACAGCCCGGTTGGTTTTATAATCAACAAATATTGCTCTGAATGGGAGGTGTAAAATGGATGCAGATGGTTTTGAGGGTTATTCGGTATGGCCATAACAAAGAGAAACGAGCCTTGATGCTGGCTGCATCCCGTGTCTAGGCAACAAGGTGCATATGTTGTCTTTCACAAGTAGTCATTACCCTCTAGCCTCACACACTCAAGCTGACACAACGTGCAGCCTCCTCTCTCACTGACCTGTAGCTGTGCGGCAACAACCCTGCTCTCTCCCTCTTCCTCTACCCCCTCAGTGTGTATATCTTTACCCTCAGTGTGTATATCTTTACCCTCAGTGTGTATATCTTTACCCTAAGTGTGTATATCTTTACCCTCAGTGTGTATATCTTTACCCTAAGTGTGTATATCTTTACCCTAAGTGTGTCATCATCCCGCTCTGTCCCCTCATTTTCCCTCAGTCATGCACCTTATACCTCTATTTATTTATTTATAGAAGGACCATGCATACAAAAACATTAATCTCAGCAAAGAGAAGAGATGCAATATGCCAGATTATAGCTAATAGCTAATTTCCATCTGTGGTCCTCTTTCACCTTCACCTATCCAGCGCTTAAGATGGAGATAGCACCCTTATACAGCTTTAAAAGACTTTACACTCAACATTTGGACCCGTGGACTCACTTTGATACTCTAATTGAACATCAAACTCTGTGTTTTCTGTCTCTTCTACTTTATTCAGATGTCTGAAGGCAGTCTAAAAAAGAGATTTCATAATTATCTTTGAAGAAGGATGAAACATATTCTTTTGAGCTTTGATAAGAGTACCAGTGTGTCTCAGGGTTGCAAATGCACACATATACATTAAGCTTTAATGAAGAAGCCTTCTTCATTAAAGCTCATCCGCTGTTGTTTTCCATTAAAATAGACATCTAAGCTTGACTATGAAAAGATATAAATGGATCAGTCAACAAAGATCCAAATGAAAAACTGACAAATGGACTGTTAGCTTGACATAGGGAAGTCCTGGCGTGCTGGAAATGGTGTTTGTTTCCCTGATAAATCTTTATGTTTGCCTTGTGTTCATGTTTGACGTGAATGGACTAAACAGTGGAGTGTTTGTTAATATAGTTTATCTTCTGAATAACAGCCCTTGAAGGACTGGAGCCTCCTCGTGTGGCAGCACCTCCGCCTATAAAAAAGTGTTTAGCCTGCGGAGGTGATGGATGGTGATGACCTGTGTGAGTGTAGCAGACCAGTGGGTGGCCACGCTGACGGCAGGCCTGTTTTCTTTACAGCAGCATCTGTATTTATAAAGAGTCACTTGTCAGACAAACCAGCTTATCAGTCAGTCAATGTTTCATTATGTTCCAAAATAAAGTCATTTCTTAAGATTAAAAGTACACAGTGTGCAGAGTTTTGCCGATGTAGTTTGATGTGGTTTTCTATTTTATTGCAATATGTTTTTCTGTAAGGGCTGTCCCAAATATAATTCTAAAAGCTTAAGTGAGAAATATTAAAATATATTAATTGTTTCAAACCGGAAGTTGGGTTGCCCCTTCCACTTCAGCGCTATCCCTTTTGAAAATTACTAAATAATAATTCATTTTGATTGTGTACGATGAATAATGTTGGATTAGTATAACAAAAATAAAATGTAACTAAAAAACAGAACTAAATAAATGAAGCATTAAAAAAGAAACGTATTTGGATTACCGTGGCAACAGTTGAAGCCTGGGTCAGCCCTATTTTTTGAATATTTTAATCCTGAATATATACAAATTTGGAAGAATTATTATAATAATATGATGCTTAATTTTTTAAGCTGACTCTGGTTTATTATTTACTTTCTCTACCCTGAACCCTGCAGCCACTTTTTCTCCACTCTGTTTTCTTTGTCTGCATTTTAAAATGATCGGCCTTGAAATGTCCGTCTCAAGGTTACTCAAAGCGACAGACATATCGAGTCAGAATTTGGACAAAAAAAACCTCTTTAAGCTCGGCCTGACAGCAGCGTAGCGTGTTTGTTATATCTTAGTTGATCCTGCAAAATCTGCCCACTCTATCCTCACCCTGTGTTTTTATGCAAATGAGAAGCAGGAAGACCTCAGGCAATCACTCAGGTCTGCTAACAAATGCTTTTATATATTGTAAGTTATCCTGTTTTTCTTGTGATTCAATCAGTAAATCATGAATACTTCATTGAAATCTTGTTCGTAGTGCATTTGCATAAAATGTGCTAAACAGTGGGGTTCAGTATCACAGCAGGAGAGCAGAATTATCTCTCTCCTGCAAACTGTTCTAAGCAACTACAAACAAAGAACAAACTTTGTATTGCAAAACATTTATTGTTTAATTTGCAACACATTGGGTTACTGCTGCACTGCAGATACACGCTTTACAACATCAGGAGGATACGTCCCCTTCTGACCCAGAAAGCGACACAACTCATCTCACGCCTAGACTACTGCAACTCCCTCCTGGCTGGTCTACCTGCATGTGCCATCGACCTCTGCAGCTCATCCAGAATGCAGCGGCTCGTCTGGTCTTCAACCTTCCTAAATTCTCCCACACCACGCCGCTCCTCCGCTCCCTTCACTGGCTTCCAGTAACTGCTAGAAACCACTTCAAGACGATGGTACTTGCGTACCATGCTGTGAATGGATCTGGCCCTTCCTACATCCAGGACATGGTTAAACCGTACAGCACGTGCACTCCGCTCTGCATCAGCCAAACAGCTCGCTGCACCCGCACTGCGAGGGGGACCCAAGTTCCCATCAGCAAAAACACGTGGGTTTGTCATTGACATCAGGACAGCAGAAAGCTTACACATCTCCCGGCGCAGACTGAAAACTCATCTCTTTAGACTCCACTTCGAGCGATAGAATTACTAACAAAGCACTTATATACTAATAAAGGACTGACTTATCTAAAGCCAGTTGAGTAGCACTTGAAATGTTTGGCTCTATGAAACCTGATGTACTTATATGATTCTGTTTTCTTCAAGTTTGTATCTTCTTGGTCGAATGCACTTATTGTAAGTCGCTTTGGATAAAAGCGTCAGCTAAATGTAATGTACCGGTAACAGCACCCGTTCTGTCCTCTGTCCTCTTTGCGCCCCATGTCTCCGCCAGACACTAATGCACTGAAAAGGTCACTTGGGAACTCTTTGTTGCCTCTGCCAATGAAGCGTTCTTTGTACTCGCAAGCTTTTTCTGCAGCATCTTTCACTTTTTTCTGTCCATCCTAACTCAAAAATAGTTTAATCCACCAATTCAGGACTTCAAGGAACAAAACCCCAGTCAATATTTGGCTTTCCCAGGCACATTTAAAAGAAAAGAGGAGGCAGAGAAAGTTAAAAGTGAGGGACAGTGCTGGCTCTGACTCAGGGACTAAAAGTTTGCAGCAGAGTACTGCATGAAAGTGGCTGAATCAGCAGGGGGACTGTGAGCTGATAAATATTTCAAAATAAAACTATGACTGGATTCTTGTTTTCACTGCTCAATATCCCATGAATATTTGTCTATTTGTTAAATATGAATGAATGACACCAGGCAGTCGCCCTGCTGCAGAACCTCATTTCAGCTGTTTGTATTATGTCTCTTTATTCCAGTAACCACATTTTTGACAGCTGGAGTTATTTTTTAAATTCGAGTCCTGAATGGGAATGCTTTTTATTTAGCGATGGCAGCAGGCAGTAAGAGCTTTTACATGTTTGTGGTGAGTAATGGGGGTAAAAAATAAGGCATCCAAAAGGCCAGATCTGGAATTCTGACTGAGGCAAGAGAACTGTCAGACTGGATCAACTTCTTTAAAACTGTTAGTCAAAAAGAACAGATTTTTATTTGAATGTGTATGCAAGTGTGCGGACCCTTTTAGACCATACTACTGTGTGATAGTGAGTAAAAGCTGATAAAAGTCTTAATTACTGCAACCAACTAATGCCCAGTCCTGAAATCCATTTGATTACATCCATATAAGACCTCAAGATATCTCAATTAATCCACTTACCGGTACTGCTTATCAGCTGTGCCCCCATGACACACCTCAGGTATCCCACCAAGTTTAACTCCAGCTCTTCCAGATTATCGATATTTGCTCGGGTGGGAGCGTCAGTACCGGTAATTTCGAGGTCTTTCTAGTACACATCCGGACATCCAGCATTCTCAGCGTTCCACTGATTAGCCGGTTCACTCCACTTAGACCCCGCTAATCACATTCATCATGGATGAGAAGCCTGATCTATCGGAGATTAGATCAGTCAACACTCATCTGTGAAGAAGAAGTGATTTCTGCAAAGCAGACCTTCCACATGAGAGGATTTGCACTTTGTGGCGAAAAGGAATTCATTTCCAACATGGAATAGGTTTGATATTAACATTAAAACAAAAAACGATCTGAGAATATTAGTCCAAGTTATCATTATTCATGCTTTATGCTTCATCATTTTTCTCAGTCAAGTGCTATGTTCAAAATATGACCTCATTGATTGTTGCAGCAGAGTGCAGTCTGCTTTTCAAACTAGTTGATATCATATCAGATTTGTTTCTGCTTCTGTTTCTAAATGTTGCGTGACATGGCTCTTATTCTTCTCTGCCTGGATGTGGAGTTACACCCCAGGTCCTTTTGGGGATTTATTTGTCATTTATGCCTTCTGGATATTTTGTATTTGCTTTTGTTTTCCTCAGTCATCATGTGTGGATTGGATACTCTATCACAGGAGTCTCCCTTATGCAGTTTTTGCAGTGCCATTTATCTTAAAAATATTTCCTTATATTTGTAACCCACATAATGCTTTATTTTTGTATGTATGTCTTTCAGTTTTCTCAAATTCTGCTTTATATTAATACATTCTATGCCTCTTTTGTATAATGTGTATTAAAAAAAGGATAAACACCCAGGCCTTTGTTATTTGTTTAACATGTTGGAAGCAGTACTATTCAAATGTTGGCATTTAAAGTAAGAATAAATACATATTTGTATTAGAGCGACAGTACTAGGGAGCAGCTGCTTCTTGTTTTGTTTCTCTGTTCAGGTCTTACAACATTGTTGCTATTCGAATTGTCTTTCATTGAAAATAATCAAAGGCATATTTTTTTTTTTTTTTAGTTAAAACAAAAGACGGGAAATCAGCCCGGCTCCTCAGGTCTGCCAAAATGATTTCCAGCACTGATATAATCATAACCATATGTTCCTGCCCCTGGACATATTGTATTCAGCTTCTTAAAGAGCATAATTCATTCTCAAAATCGAGTTTCAGTCTTCTGAGGCAGCTGAATCATTTCTTGTGTACCTCGTATTTCAGCTGTATTATCTCCACGTCAATGCAAGTGCACACAGTTTCATCATTCCGGATATTTATTTACAGCCCTGTCTCAATATTTTAACCTAGCGATGGTTGATAAATAACTCTTTATTCTTCCTTTTTTCCCACTACTTCTGAGCAGACCTCCCCCAACCTGCCACGAGAGACCGCCCTCCGGGTTGTAAGACGGTGTTTGTCGGCGGCGTGCCGGAGAACTCCAACGAGCAGCTCATCGTGGAGGTCTTCGGGCAGTGTGGGGAAATCGTCGCCATACGCAAAAGCAAGAAGAACTTCTGCCACATCAGATTTGCTGAAGAGTTCACTGTGGACAAGGCTCTTTTCCTGTCGGGTGAGCTGTCATAACTGCTAACCTTGTTGTGAAAGTGTTAATTGTTACGATATTTCATTGTATTTGTGTCAGTTGCACTTAGACTTACGGCCCGTCCACACACAGGCATGAAAAAAATCTTGAAAAATCTTGATGCTGGGCGTGTCTGAAGGTTGGCGATTTCACGCGCCCAAGGCGACCAACAACCAATCAGGAATCGCCCAGGAATCTCCCGCCCGCCCCAGGCATACAAAGCAATTCAATGTTAAAACGAAGTAAACTGGATATAAACTCCCCAAACAGGTGAAAACCTACCAGTTTCACCAACTGTCTCTGCCACCTCCCTCCATGCCTGGTTCCTCCGGTTTAGGTCCAGGTAGGTGAACAGAGAACAGTCGTAAAGGACCGGGACATTTCCTACAGCGATGATTAATTTATCCTCCATTTTATGACATATGGAAAAGACCTGCGGTATCTACATACACGCGGTTTCATTGGCTAGCGCTTGTACTGGCGGGATTTGCATAAACGGGATTTGATTGGCTGATGCCAGCTTCGAAAGCATCGGGAGCATCAAAAGTTGAACATTGCTCAACTTTTGATGCTCACGATGCTTGCAAAGCCATGCTCCGCTCCCCACAATGCAGTTCGGCGAAGATTAAAAATCTTCTACGCCATTCAAGTGAATGGGCGAAGCTTTGAAAGATTTTTTTCATGCCTGTGTGTGGACGGGCCGTTAATGTCAAGCAAGAACACATGGAGGCACACAGTAGGCCCCGGGTAGGAAAACTTCCATTTATTTTCCCATAAACACTGTTATGTGACATTCAGTCATAGCACTCGGCTGGTGGGCAAAAGATCAACCGCACCATATATCATCTGGTTCCTTGATTTAAATAAAACTATAGATACAATGGAGGCTTATATATAGTCTCCCAAGGTGTGTTTTTGTTAGAAATCTCCAACCATGTCTGTTGCTGACTGTAACAGCTTTAAAATCCAGTTAGAGAAATCCATTGAGAAATTATTTTACAATTTGAAGCGTAAATGAATTCACATTTTGAATGAATAATGCCTCGAAACGAAAACGCATTTAAAGTACAAGAATGCGGCTCATTAATCATATTATTGGGAGCTGGTGAAATAATTAAAACTGTTGGCTTTAAATCATTAAATTATTCACAGAAAAAAGACAAACCTCTTCCCATCTGTGTGGGCCTCACTATAGGAAAGGACACTCACAGGTCAAACACAGCCTAGAGGCTCACAAAACAGAAATTATAAATGACCATTAGGTAAAAAAAAAAGCATCTGGACTAACCATGTGACGCCAGCTCATTGTTTCTTATCTAATCTTCATTTTTACAGCGGCTTCTTGAGCTGATAAGTCTTAAATTCTCTCTGTGCTGGCTGTGTATTTCTACTCTGAAAAACCTATTCAACCTATCAGTGGCTTCAGTTGCATTTTCCAGCATAAGTGTGTGTTCATGCATGTGCAAATGTGTGTGTGTGTTTTTTTTGTGGGAATTAGTTTGAATGAAAGGTCCTGGGATTTCTTCTGCCTCAGTTCTCACAGTGAGACGTGGGAGGCGAGGTCCATATATTAGCAAGATGACAGGGCTGTGTAGTTTTCCCATAAATAATACCCCACCCACACACACAAAAACACACACACACACACACACTGTGCAAACACAGTACCCAGCAATGACACTTCCTCTAGCAGCCCCAACACATTGACATCTCCTCCTTATGAAATATTGAAGCTGTGGTTGATTGGGAGCCTGAAGCAGAGAGACTGAAGTCGAAACCCCCATACTCTCGCTCATTTCTCTTCCTGTTTGCACTGGCATCTACCCCCCCCTTTCTCCTGTGATGAGTGTGTTGGGCCTCACAGTGGATCACACTGGGCATCATTACTGTGTCCGGCTACAGCACACACTCACAAATGTACCCAAACACCCTCTGATCATTTCAACCAATTAAATCACAAAATGGGCCTGATTTCACTTCAGATCCGCAACCAGCTATTAGTGAAAATTAAGTTAGGAGGAGAGTTTGAGGATGAGAAGGAAGTAGTGAGTATAAGAGGGAGTAATGAGGGATATTGGGTCCTTTCAGTGCCTCGAGAGCAGTAATTTATCTCCTCTAGTCCCCCTTGTGTATTGAGAAGTAGGATGCACGTTTGTACTCTAGGTAAATGGTGTCAAATGGAGGGATTACACATCAGGATAAAGAGAAAGGGTGGAGGCAGGTAGAGCCTGCTTAGTGGCATGAGTTTATCTATTGTTGTCTAAATACAGTTTGCTGAAGGTGACTCAAAATGACTCCCAACCAGAAAGAAACCCTACAGTAAAGCTCATGCATGAACCTTTTAGCCCTCCTGCTCCTTCTTTTCCTATTTTACTATTCAGTTGACTCCACGCCTCCAAGCATGTTTTCCAATTTGCATTAAAACCATGTATCGTGCCCATGATTTAACTTTTCATTTTCATGAGCAATCCAGAAGATGTAAGACTAGCTGATTATCACATAGAATATTTAATTAAAAACGATTGCCGTCAGGTGCAAATGGGAAGTGTGAAGTTGACAGCTGTCAAAAATGAAAGGCATTCAGGCGTGACGGTGCTTCAGTGGTCCTAAGGTAGAAACCACACAGCCGTGACTTCCTCAGTCTGAATCCAACTTGGGATCTTTGTCACATGTCACCCTTCTCTCCTCTCTTCTCTCTCTCTTTCTTCTTTCTTCTACTGTCAAATATCTCATAACAAGAATTAGATGCTCCAGCTATGATAACAGCTATGGTCAGGCAGCACTGCGTTGAGCTAAATGCTAACGTCAGTATGCTGCCATGCTCACAATGCTAATGCTAATATGTGGATGTTAAGTAGGTATATTGTTTGACATGTTTACTATTTGAGTTATTCTGGCACTGAAGGCCTTGTACATCTGAGTCGGAGGGTAATTGTCGTTTTTTTTTGTTGCCATTTGGTACTAAACTAAAGTGGTGGACAAATTAAAGGTTTTGATCTGATGATAGCGTTACATCACCAAAGATGATTACCATTACCATTCATCCTGGGGGGAACATGACTGTGCAGCACATTTCATGGAAATCTATTCAAATAGAAGCTCATAAATTTAACATTTAACACAAATGTCAACCCTTTGCTTGGGGGAAAGTCAGGGCATCACCAAAGTTGTCATATTGAATGTATACACCAAAATGTTGAAGCCACCCTAAGAGCTGCAAAAATGTAGTTAGTCAAAGTACATTTTTAAATATCATAGGCATTTACACAGCTGCAAAATGCACCGCACATTGTGAAAATGACATCAAACTGTCAGAGCAGACCAATTACTTCATTTTAATTTAGTTCCCTGCTGTCCCTTCTGCTTCTCTCAGCATATTTACTTTTCATATCTTCCACCTCCTTCTATATCCTTTATAGTTAATTACAACGCTTTTTTTTCCTGCTATAGGTTACCGTATCCGTTTGGGCTCCAGCACAGACAAAAAAGACTCGGGCCGCCTCCACGTGGACTTCGCCCAGGCCAGAGACGACCTGTACGAGTGGGAGTGTCACCAGCGCATGTTGGCCAGAGAGGAGAGGCACCGGCGCAAAATAGAGGACGATCTCTTCCGACCCCCCTCTCCTCCTCCCATAGTGCACTACTCCGACCATGAGAGCAGCCAGCTGGGAGACAAGATCAAAGGTTTGGCTAAATATAAAACATACACAGTAAAATATGTGCATGACATGAAAGCAAAAACATAGGTAACACATATCGAAGTAACACCTTTGAACATATAGTGGTATCTCAACCAGGCATTAATAAGTACAAGTAGTTTGGTATGTGTGTCCATTTGCAGGAAGCCACCCAATTTTAAGACAAAGCATTACAGGAAGTGTACTAAAAGCAGTTCTAACAAATGTGTTGATTAAAAAAGGCTGTAAACATAGTATATCAGTGTATCCTTCCCCCCGCCCATGCTCCTCTCCCTTATCTTGTCTCTTGTCCTCTCGTCTCGCTTCTTCCTCTCCATTTTCTCTTCTCCGCTGTGGTTTCCACGTCTTCTCAGCTTTCTGCTGACTTTCTGGCTGAATAAACCTGTTTCGCTAACGAGCAATGACACTTCCAGGTCTCAGTCACAGTTTCCCGATAACAAAATGGCTGTGACTTTCTGCCTCTTTGACATCTGCGTGCGTCTTTCTCGGCTCCCCCTCCCCTCGTCATGGTGTAAAGGAGTCTAACACAGCGTTGTTTCAGCCAAGGATTTGTTTCTGAAGACTGCAGGCTGCTGTTGTGAAAACACACATCCCGGTTATTTGCTGTAGATTTAGGTTTGACTCTTTTCCTGAATCTTCCACCCAGAGGAAAAGAGGTTTAGACATGTCAATGCCAGTTATACTCCTGTACTGTAAACCCAATGTTCATTTGTATGACGAGAAGCTCACAGCAGAGCATTTTACTTAGACCATTTTTGTATTTGTTACTTCTCTCATGTGTCGTTGAGGTCTGTGAAGGTGTTCTTTGTTACAGAGCATATGTCAGTCTGTACAGTTCTCCATTTTCCTTTCATCCAACAGCACAGATGGCTTTTTGTTCTCCTGTCCTTGTTCTCTCCACTTTACAGTAGATGTTTTATCTTTTTTCCGCATCACTTTGGCTTGATCAAATTAACCCAGACGTTACTTAGTCTACTTTTCACTCAACAGAATAAAAAGGGCTTTCTATCGCATGTATTTGAAGTGAACTTCATGTGCTTTTATGTTATTCTTCACATTGTTTTTTACGTTGTTCACAATTTACAGCCTTGGGTATAATGTATTGCTTACTTTTACACAGTTTTGTTTTCCTTTCTTCAAGTATCCTAGCACTGTTTTGATGTCTCCTTGTGTAGAACCTGACTCTTTATTTCTTTACCTCTTTGCTAGATGATGGCAAGTTTCCTGAAGCAGTGCATGTGCTGTTGACCTGGCTGGAGAGAGGAGAAGTCAACCGAAGGAACGCCAATAACTTCTACTCCATGATCCAGGCGTCCAACGGCCACATCCGCCGGCTGACGGGCGAGAAGAGTCAGCATGAGAAGGAGGTGGAAGAGGCCAAAGACAAGTTCAAGATCGCTCTAGCCGGCATAGTTGGTCAATGTGAGTCGGTTCTCAATCACACACACACTTGGATGCATAATTAAGTGTATACTCTATGTACTGTAAGTGTACAACATTGTTATCATTTTTGTATAAAGGTCAAATAAATAGATTATAAGTTAAAGTTTATTACTAGCATACACTTATCATACTCCTTGTTGTGCAGTATAAGTACAGGAGGAGGATAATAATCCATACTTGGCCAAGTTTCTGGTTCTGTGTAAGTTTCCTTATCATAGGAACACACACTACATAAACACACTGTAAGAATGTTTCTGCCTGAAGTTCACAATGCTGCAAATACGTAAGTATACGATTGTTCACAGCCCATCATCAACTCTCACACCATGCACAGACCATGTGTGCTCAGCATAGTAAGACACACATTGTGGATTTATAGGTTATTGAGTTAAAAAGGTGTCATGAAAGACATTTTGTTTAATGCTAGTTTGTTTTTGGGAGGATGGCTTCAAGGTAAGTTTAATGTATTTCCTAACAGTGTTATATGACTCTACATTTTGCATTCATCGTCCTGCTCATGTTACTTCCGAGATACAAATATCTGAAACATTAAAGAAAAAAGAATTCTGGTTCATGTGACCTTGGTGGAATATGTATTCATGTTTTCTTTCGATGAAAGTAGCCAAACACATTAATCGCATGAATACTGTGGAGGCCAAACATACACAGCAAATGCAGGCTTGGCTCATTCCAGCTGATGAAAGGCCAAAGGAAAAGCCTTCTTCTACCCACCTTTGACAGCCTAGGCTGTGCAGCTGCTGGTTAACACCATCGCCTGCGGCACTTTGTCTCCCTATATCCCACAACATTCATGTCAAATAGAACGTAAACATCTTTCAACATCAAGTGAAGTTCCCAGTTTTTGATTTCTGGATAAAATACATGCAGAAGACGATGGAAGGTGTATATTTGTATAAACCACACGGAGACAGAGGTTGTTGCTAGTGCTATCCATCCTCCACCATTTCAGCCCAAACAAACACTTTCCTATTCATGGCCCTGCCCTCCTCCTGCTGCATTGCTGGTCATATTAATGATATCACAGAGACTGGCCTCCTGTGAGGGCGTTTACAAGTCTGTTCATATCATATCAATTCGGCCAGTCTCGTTTATTTTTGTTGCCCTCCACTTATGTCTGTCTCTGATGGAGTACGTCACCTTTACAGGGCAAGTCGCACATATTGTCACTTAATCCCGATGATGTGTAGCCATGCCGATGGTTTTATGTGCCCTGGTTTTAAGTTAGAGGCCTCTCAGTCTTCTGCTGCTGCACTAATACGGAGGAGGAGCAGAGATTCCATTATTGGTGCTCGAAGCATTGAAGAAATACCTTTGAAAGGCTTTAAAAGCATCTTGGCCTTTCTAGAATAATATGTTATTTTTTTTAAGATAATCTGCAGAGTCTCTATTTGAACTTCTTTGTTGCATATAAGCTGACAAGCCTGAAATTCTGTCTGTAGCATCTCCTCTCTTCTCTGCCTTCACCATCGATCTGCTCCATCAAATTACAGGGTTCTGGGAAGATTTTATTGATCTCTGTACTGTTCACTCTCTCGCTCACTCTGCAAGCGCGCACACACACACACACTTAGTTGGTGGTGATATTGACTCCCCCCCCCCCCCCC